TCTAGCTATAAAATAGGAAGAGTACTCTTACCTTTCATTGCCTTACAAGGCAGTCAAATCTCTAAAACAATCAAATGTTAAATGAGAAAGCTCTTTGTGCCTCCTAAAAGGAGAAAAGAATATTAACCTGAGGTGATGTTACACTGTCTTCCAAAGTGAAGGGGGGGAAATTCCAGGAACCACTGTGACTCTTGGCTCATAGATGTTTCTGTTCATGAAGCAACAGGAAAGTGTAGAGACCAAGCATTTCAGAAAATAAATGCCCCAGAATGACTTAGGGAGCGGGATGAAGTATTCATTGACTTGGGAACCTATTCAGTACTTTTGGACAAAATGGGTGAGTTTTGCAGAGCGGCAAAATTTGATATTTTAATTCTTTAAGAGTTGATTAGTGATGAAAATGAGTAGAAATATTGGTAGTATTCCTTTTTGGTAAGAATCCTGCTCCCCTCTGTCTCAGTCATTTGGTTTGTCCAGTTATAATGGCTTGGCAGTCTTACGATATTTGAGTACATAAACCTTTGTTAGGTAAATTAGGAGAGTATAAAATGAATTTTGTAGAAATTGTACCAAATGGTTTATAAAAAAAAAAGCGCCTCTGGGTCTCTTTCTCTGCAGTGTCCCATGAACGGCTCTTCTTCCACAGCAAGCTTTTCTTCACCATAAATGTGGCATCAAGTCCTTGGGGTTTAAAAATAATATTTTTTTTTGCTCGGGCAAGTGAGGCCAGCGTCTGTAACTGCCTGGAGCAGGATCTGTCATGTCTCAGTGACCCGGGGTGGCTTTGGTCCAAAGCACGGTGATTGGGCCCTTAATTCACTTCCTAGGAAATGAACCCTGCTTCATGCTGTTGCTCTCCACTGAAAAACTCCCTCACAGGTTTATCTGGATAAATCCTTGACAGCCTTCAGGACCCAGATCATGTTTTGTCTTCTCCAAGGAGCCTTCTTCTCTTCTGTAAGTGCCTCCCTCCTAAAGCTTCTGTTTCCTTGCCATGAGGAACTCCTGCAGGTGAACACTTACTGTGGTAACCTGTCAGGATCTGCTGTTTAGTTGTTTCTTGTGGATTAGACTCCGATACAGCAGCATGCCTTCTACCACCATTCTCCTTCCCACTCGGTGAGTACAGTGCGCACAGGCCGTGCTACTTCCGAGTTGTTAGCTAGCTAGCTAAGCCCTGGCGTTCTTACCCTAGCCAGTTTGTCAGAGCCCCTGAGAACTAGTAATGGGACCACATTCTCAGGGTCATGTCACGTGTAACCCGTCCAGCTCCAGGGAGCATCAGCCGCATGGGAAGTGAAGAGGAGGTCATCCACTTTTTTTGCCCATGTGGCGGCCCTGTGTCCCCTCTTGTGTCTAGAAGTGGCCTGTGTTTACACATTACTGCGTTACATTCGCTGGACTGGAGACTTTCCTACCTCCGTCCTGTTAGATGTTTGTCTGTTTCAGTGGGAAGTTAAAAATTAGTAAGGAGTTGGGGCGCCTGGGTGGCTCAGTCGTTAAGCATCTGCCTTCAGCTCAGGTCATGATCCCAGGGTCCTGGGATCGAGCCCCACATCTGGCTCCCTGCTCAGCGGGAGGCCTGCTTCTCCCTCTCCCACTCCCCCTGCTTGTGTTCCCTCTCTTGCTGTCTGTCTTTGTCAAATAAATAAATAAAATCTTAAAAAAATTAGTAAGGAGTTAATCTAACTTTTCCATAACTTTTTGGGGCAGTGTTTTTAACAATGAGGTCCTAGACCCTTGTATCAGAAACACTAGCTATGCTGGTTAAAATGCAGAACCTCAACCCCCGATAGACAGTGAGTCAGTCTAGGAGTGGAACTGAAGGCTTTACAAGACCGATGATTCTTAAGCACTTCCCTGAAATCTTAGGAAATGATTGTTGAAATAGCTCCTCAGTGAATGGAAGCTGTAGTGCCTCAGAGGGCTAATGCCACAGTCTTTAACCTCCTCCTCTACTCTCACCCTTTTCTGACTCGTTTACATTCTGTTTAGTGGGTAGTTGCCCTGAGCCGACCGAACCAGCCACGGTGGGACAATCGGATGTGAAGAAAAGGGCCTTTGCTCTCAAGGTGCTAATCATCTATGTGGAAAGAAAAGATACACAATAAATATGTGCACTCGCAGCACATATCTGCATATATATACATATTATATAAATAAATCTTGAAAGCTGGTTATTACCAATAGTACAGGTCTATAGGATTGACAGTTTGTAGAGTTATGTCTTCGGGATCACATAGAGCTCCACACTTTTTTTTTTTTTAAAGATTTTATTTATTTATTTGACAGAGACCCAGCCAGAGAGGGAACACAAGCAGGGGGAGTGGGAGAGGGAGAAGCAGGCTTCCCGTTGAGCAGGGAGCCCGATGCGGGGCTTGATCCCAGGACCCTGGGATCATGACCTGAGCTGAAGGCAGACGCTTAACGACTGAGCCACCCAGGCGCCCTGAGAGAGTGACTGGGTTTCAGTATTTCAAGCAGGCTTCATAAGAGAGAAAAGATCTATGGTATAGTTGAAGACAGTGCTAGACTTTAGAGTTCAGAGTTCACAGTTTTGAATTCAAGTCAGAGCCTCTATTAGGCAGTAAATGTTACTTTAATTATCGGAAAACTAATTAGGTTATGGTGAGGCACATTTTAAAAATTCATGTACTAATTCTTGAGTGACTTAAATTTATGTATGTATATTTCCAATTTTAGACCATATAAATATTAAAATGAAAATAAGTGTCATAGCTTTATATACCAGTATTTGGTTACTACTGTCTGTTACTTTCTATGGGACACTGAAGGAGAGAGGTCAGGAAAAGGAAGGACGTCATTTTTTGAAAGCTATGCATGATTATTACATAAAACTTTACTCCATCGGCATGCTTGGCAGAAAAATGCCTAGGACACCATTTTTGTTTACATTTTATTATGGTATGAACTTCTTACAGTGTAAAAATTGTGTTTTTTCCTTTGGTCACATCTTTGTCATTTGAACATCATTTCCCACTAGATACTTTATTGGTCTAGATTAGAAGATTGTGGGAGCCTTCTCTGAACCTCTGTGGGGCCTGCTTCATGCAGAGGTATGGAAATTTAGAATGGAAAGGAGCTACGGATTTTCTAGGGCACTATCTGTTTTACCACTGAGGACTTACGCATAGAGCCATTAGAACAATACTTGGCACATGGCTAATGCCTCAGAAAGGTTAGTTCCGATTAGTAGTAGCGTTTGAAGCCAAGCCATTGGAATTTTGGTTCAGGAATTTCTTCTTAGATGTTTTAGAGCTGTAAAGAAACTTGTTTTTCCTGCTTAATTTATTTCATCAAGGACAACCATCACCCTCACTGTCTGGGAATCTTTCCATTTTTTTTTTTTTTTTTAAATCCCAATTCTTGTCTCACTTCCTTTTTCCTTATGTCCTCTCTCTCTCTCTCTCTCTCTCCCTAATAGACAGAATAAATTCAAGGAAATTGAGAGTTGTACTTTAAAACATTTTTGTTATTGTCCTCTTCAGGGCCAGCCTGAGATTTTCTGCCACCTTTTATAAAATTTATGCCCAGCATAGTTGTGATTTTTTTACTGCCTTCTCTATGCAGATAAACACCCATCCTTCTGCTGATGGCAGCACTGCTGTTTCTTCATGGCCAAACTTAAAAACTTTCTGGAAATGTTAAAAACATGGAATAAAAACTTGTGGGTGAAGTGGGGTAGGAGTAGGAAATTTGGGGGAAACAGTGGAAACCTGTGCCAAAGTTTTTGGCTCCTTTTGGAGAACTAAAGGACTGACTTCTTTTTTCTTTTTTAACGGGTGCAAGGGGGGGTGGGATTCCCCAAGGTATCAGGCACAGTTTGCTCATGAAAATGAGCAGGTTTGGTAGATATATTTAAGGAAGTGAAGGACAGGACAAAATTTCATTAGTAATTTGTGTCCCTCTGCCCTCCAAACATACATTTTTGTTGGGAGCGGGGAGACTTGTAAATAGAAATGTGAAGCTTTAGAAAAGTCAGGTTTTCCTATTGTTGTTTTCTTTGTCAGTTTTCTTACCGATTTGTGGTAGAGGCTCCAAAGAGGTGAAGGATCATTACTAGTACATTTGGTGCCCATCTAAAATGGGATTCTGTGGACCAAGTGCTGTGTCAAGTTGAAGAACTGGGCTGTGGTCTCTATTTCCCCATCACCTTTGTCTTTAAATGCCTTTCTCTCAGGACTAGTGGAACTTTTTAAAGCTCAAATAGAGTCTTAGTGCTGTTGAATATGTGCTTCAAGATATATCTAACTGATTTCTAAATCCTCAGTAACTTTTTTAAAAAATTGAAGTGTATTTAGCATACAGTGTAATATTAGTTTCAGGAGTACAACATAATGATTTAACAATTATATATATATATACAGTGCTCACCATGATAAATGTAGTCACCATCTGTCACCATCATTTGTTTCTTGAATTCCACATAGGTGTGAAGTCACATGGTATTTGTCTTTCTCTGCCTGACTTATGTCACTTGAAGATGACACCAACAAATGGAAAAATATTCCATGCTCATGGATTGGGAGAACCAATATTATTAAAGAGTCGGGAACTTTTTAATAACTTGAAAAAGGAGTATATTTAAGACTTGTGTAGTGCTATGTGTGTTTCTATATGTACATATGTCCCCTGTGTTTAGAAAACAATACTTGTTGAAGCAAAACATGAGATGATGCTATTAAATTTAGATTATTATTTTGGTTTGGTTTCCTACTGCCTTCTAGGTGTGCATGCGTGCATGCGTGTGTGTATCTGTGTGTGACTTCTTGATTTTTTTCTTTATTGGTGGGACTATTAATTTTGGTTTCTTGACTGATTGCATGAAGATGCCAACTTTTACTTTTGCCATGGTTTTATAACCTGTGTGGTTTTAAAGTTGAATTATTTTTTATAAGGAGAAAGTAGCAATATCCTTTTAGTAACTTACTATATAAGGATAAATCTGATTTGTTTTTATCTTTCTTTTCTCTTTTCAGAGGACGTTAAACAAGTTTTTGGACAGACCACAATTCATCAGCATATTCCATTTAACTGGGATTCAGAATTTGTGCAACTACATTTTGGAAAAGAAAGAAAAAGACACCTCACATATGCAGAATTCACTCAGTTTTTACTGGTGGGTCCAGCTCTTAAGGAGTAAATAAGTAAAACCAGGATCCTGATTTACCTCAAAATTGCTAACCTGGACAAACCATCCTATTTGAAAGTATTTCTTTATTAGTATGTAAACAAGATGTGATTAAATGGGTTCCTACAGACTGTGTAGAATCCCTTCCTGTAGAAAAGAAATATGCATTGAGGCCCCAGGAAATCAAGTGATTTGCTGAAAAGTCACATAAGTTGGGGAGGGGGGCAGGATTGGAACTTGAATTCTTGGCTTATGACTAGTTCCACTACTATTCACCAATATTTTGTTTTCCTTTGAGAAATGGACAGACATGTCATCAGCATCTAACTGTAGAATTACTTCACTTGAGGCCTTTTACAGACAAAGGCACTGGGTCTGCAACTTGACTGCAGATTGAAATCACTTGGGGAGCTTTAAAAACAACTGGTATTTGGGTCCCCCACCTCTAGAGATTAGATTTGACTGGGGAGGGGGGCAGTGAGAACCTGGGCATTGGGATAGTGAAAGCTTCCCAGGTGCTTATGATGTGCAGCCAAGTTTGAGAATCACTGTTCAGAGAATACCTGTTGTCCATACCCAGGGTGAAACGGGGTTTACATTTCTGGGGTGCACCTTCCTTGGCCTTGTCCCTCCTGCCTTTCTCTCATCACCACCGGCATCCCATTATGGTCCCATCATTAGACCACTGAAGATGCCAGTGGACAAGTAGTAACAAAACATGATTGCACTTTAGTTTTCCTCCTGAAGTGTAATTTTTAGAATGTTTTAATTCCAGTATTAACATTTAGTCACTAAAGGTCAATATCTGTATGGTATGTAGGCTGTATGATTCTCTCTTTTGGACTTTGATGCATTTGTTTTGTTTCTCTAACATTTAATTTTATTTATATTTTATTAAATGTAATTTAAAAAGACTCATTTAAGGCCATTATTTTGCTGTGTTTAAATTCTGGGTCTTGAGGGAAAATTTGCCAGGGAAATCACCTTCTTTCCTTTGTCACTAGAAATGTGTTCAGGGGGTATCCTGATGCCCCTGTTTATTTCATGTGCCCAAAACTTTGCCAGAGTCTTCTGAGGCGTGGTGGCAAGGTGCAGTGTCAGGGTGGATGTTCAGGGCTCAAGAATGCATGCACACACGCACGCGTGGAGGCCGTGTCATGTGCTCAGTCAGCATTTTGTGGGATCCACTCTCAGGCACCAGCATATGTAGTAGGTTGACTTTAATAGGTACTTCTCTTTTTGACTTTTAGTGGTTTTGTTATGATATATAAAATTTGTCATGCTATTTATTTAGTTTGCTATTATTTTCCCGGCCTTTGGGAACTTAAAGCAAGATGTTTTAAACATACCTTTGTATTTTTTTTTAAATGTTAATGTCTATGAATCCCCCTTTTCCGTTCTATGTAAACACAAACCGACTTAAATAACTCAGGTGGAGAATGGAATGTGAGTTGTTGGATTTTTGCTGTTGTTTACACAAGACATTGGTGCGCAGTAGGAGGTGGTATTCATTTTGATGAGGAATAATTACAATAATGCTATTGAGACAAATGCCTCAAATTGACTTTATGGAACACAGCCTAATTAACTTTTAGCCTTAATGGGATGTTAGCAGTAGTAGGGATGATCACGTTTCCCTTTTAAGCAGGTATCAATTAGGTTGAATTGAGTCAGCTGTAAGCCACTCACAGCGGCTTCTAGGCCTTCTTCAAGATATGGAGAAACCAGAGTCAAAGATTAAATGACTCAGGGATCACTGATTGTTTCCAGCTGCAACTTGTAGGGCAGTCACTTACATTTGACTCCTTTTTATAATGGTAAATGGAAAAACATCCCACAGTGTCCTGCATGGGATGATTTTGACTTTGTAGGCAGAATGCAAGTGCTGAATGTATACTAGATTAAAATGGTTATGGTGGATAATTATCTCAGGGAGGGCCTTGCCTTTGTATTCCACTCCAGGTCCAGAATTAATGGATGTATCATGATAGACTTTATGTGAATGTCAGTGAAATGCCAGTTTTGTTGTCTACCATTGGGTTCCTCCCCCCACACCCCATTCAGATGTTTTGTTGGCTTCCTTTGAACTCTTTTCTGAAGGCAGGTTTAGCTTCAGACCCCTACTCCAAATGCTTGGTTGGCTTCCTTTGGGCTCTTTTCTGTAGGTGGGAACTTCTTAAAGATAGAAGAAAGCTTAATCTCCTATATTTTGGGCTCTTGCTTTGTCGAGCACACACCCGCCTTTCTGCTCTCGGGCAGGGCTCAGAAGTAGGCACCCGGCTGGTGCCAAGGTTGTGAAAGCAGATGCTTGACCGCTTGAGCCATGAAAGGCCTGCCCCCGGGCATGCTGCTACCTGGCACCTGACAAGGAAGAGGAGTGGCCATAGGGACAGCTGAGAAGTGTTTGTGTTTTCAGGGAACCTTAGTGGTATGTAGAGAAAACACTGCTCTATCCCACAGACGGTCCTAGAAGGGAGTTCGGGTTGCTTCCAGCCAACTCAAGTGTCACATTTGTGAGTTACCTGTGCTGGTGTACGTACACCTGCTTGTGACCGGTGAGCAGAGCCATTCTCTGCCAGGTCAGATTTCTGTTTTCTTCCCGTAATGAGTGTTTTACTGTATCTGAGCATGTGTGAGTTTGTTATAAGCCACCACGTGGCTGTGAAGACATGTTCACTGTCTGGCCAAGCTGCCCACTCGCTGGGCTGGTGCCAGTCATGGGCACTGCTTGAATGCTCTGCTGGTGTGTTGTTTTCTGTGCTTTGGTTTTAACTTCATAAAGTGGTGAATCAATTTGATATTCTGTGAGCTAAGCATGTCTGACTTACACTGTCCATGTAAATGATAGTGTTGAAGCAAGAAGCAGGATACAAAGCCTCCTTCCCAGAGTCTTGTTCCTGGTTGATAGAGAAGAATTTCAGAAGCAAGTGGGACCGCAGTCCTGTTACCCTTACCCCATCATTGATACTGTTGAATTTACTGCTCCTGTGTTTTGTCTCCAGGTCTGTCATCCTCTCTCAACTACATGAGTAGTGTGTATGTGTGAATGGGAGTAGTTTGATATGGGGGTATATAGGTGTATTTTAAAATATTGTGAATATTTCCACATACATCTATTCTTGATTCCGGTTTTATGGTTGTTAGTTGAAAATGGGTTTTAATATACCGAATTTTTTAGAAAACGATTTGGAGAAATATTCTTCTTCTATACCTGATGGAACTCCTGTTCATAAATGGCATCAACTTAAACTCTCTACCGTGTGCAGAGTTATTTCTTGTGCTGTGATTATGACTCGCTTGAGACAAACCACCCAGTTGAGCAAATGTTCACAGAACATGCAGGGTTTGTCCAGAGGCCTTGTGCAAAGGGCCAAGAGGTACAGAGATAACAACTTTTTAGATACTTACAATGCACAAGTCTAGGGGTTCTTGCTGTGTTTATCCATCCGATAGCTCAGAAGGAACAGCTGCAAGCAAGTGTGTACACCCTACAAGGCTGCTCTCTTGTAGCAAAAACCCTGAGGAGTTTGTAGCATAGGCCCTTATGGCAGCTGTAAAGCTGAAACCAACATTCAAAGTGTGGTTAGGGCAGCCATCGAAAAGACGAACTTAAAGGACCAGATACCAGCATAAGTACATCTAGTTAACTACCCCATTTTACAGATGAGAAACTGAGCCTTTTGCTTTAGGCCTCTTAGCAGTATCTCATTTGTGAGTTTGATTTGCATTTTCCCAATGTCTAATGATGCCAAGCATCTTTTCATGTGCTTAGTGGTCATTTGTATATCTTCTTTGGAAGATAATTTTTAGTTGGTTATTGGGTGGACATCGTAGGCAAATGTGAGCACAGAGTGAGGCCCCTTAAACTTTCCTGCTAAATTATTCTGTTGGTGCTAAGATTCACTCTTGAAAATAGAAGTAGTAATAGTAACAATCTTTATAATTTACAAAGTGCTTTTAAATAGTCTGTTTCTGATAATAGCATCCCAATACTGTGAGAGGTAATTATCATTACCCCCTATTGTATGCAAAAGAATAAACGGACTCTAGGTAAAAGTTTGCATTTATGGGTAATTTTCTGGGGAAAATGCTCACGGCTTTCATTGGGTTCCCAAAGGAGTACCCCAAAAGAGTACACAGAAACTATTAGAGCTTAGTAGCTTCTTCCATAAGATCACAGACATGTGAGGGATTAAAAAATATTATGCTGTTGCCATTTTATTACATTGTCTCCAGGGCCAAGGCTATGAAAAACTAGTTTCTATTCCTGGAAGGGGCTGTACTTCTGAATGGTGTACAGCCATGCCTTGCTAGACATTGAGCATTCCTGACCCCCATCCATTAATTGCCAAACAACAAAAAAGGCTCTTAGTAGGGGTGCGTGTTTCTGTCATTTTCAGTTACCTTTTTTTTTTTTTTAGATTTATTTCTTTATTTTAGAGAGAGAGGGAGAGAGAGAGAGCACAAGTGGGAGGGACAGAGGGAGAGAGAGAGAATCTCCAGCAGACTCTGCACTGAGTGCAGAGCCCCACACAGCGCTCGATTCCATGACCCTGAGATCATGACCTGAGCCAAAACCAAGAGTCCAGCGCTCACCTGACTGAGCCAACCAGGCACCCCTGTCATTTTCAGGTACTTTTTGATGATCTTTTATAATTATAGGTATATATTTCTCATGTAATTATTAATAATTTTAAAATAATCTACACATAGGAGATTCTAGTTGCTCCAGATTCAGAATAGAAAAGTCTAGGATGGTTACTAAATGCAATATATGTGTTAACTAGAAATCTGTTTTCAGTTACCTCTCGCATAGCATTTTCCAGCTCAGAAAGTGCTTTTACTCGTATTTGTCCTTGTGATCATCTTAGATGTTAAGCATTTGCCCTTGTTTCTGTATGAAAGATGAGCACACAGAGGCTTAGTTTTCTGGACTTGTTCAAGGTGAGATAGGTGGAACTGAAGCTGATTTTAATTTTCATAAGTCT